AGCGATGGCCTCCAACCTACTAGCGATGGCCTCCAACAACCTAAGAGCGAAGGCCTCCAACCTAAGAGCGATGGCCTCCAACCTACTAACTAGCGATGGCCTGAAGGACAATCTGAGGGAACATGTCCAGCAAATGAGGCACAAACATCTGCCCCACGTCGCCGGAGTTCTGCTTGCCACTGGCCTTCACCTGCTCCAACCTGGTACTGGCAGGAGTAGAGGGCAAAGGCTGCTCCTTTGTTAATCTTGGAGATCCAAGGAGTTTGTCTTCAAGCTGCTTCACATTATGATGTTGAAATCGATCGAAATCCTTCCTATATAAAGAGTTCTTCAGATCCGAATGAAAACCAACACACAGAAAAAAAAGGAAAAAAAACAATGGCGAGAACCACCTCAACCAGTGGCGAGAAGCTGCAAAGACGCTGCATCGCATCCTTAGGGGTGATGCAACATGCTCGGCTTCTGACTTGGGGATGCTGTCCAGGCTGCTGACCCGCTCAACGACCGGATTTTAGCCAGGTTAGAAAAACGATTTTCTGCCAGGTGTCTGACTTCTGTCCACTTGACATTCCCAAAGGTCTGCCGCCTGGCAACCAAATGTCGCGGCTGAACCAAGCGCGGTGCCACGCGATCGCTTCAAAACATGTGCCTTTGCTGTAGCTCCTCACGCGAAATTGAGGGGTACATCACATTGTGCGCCTCAAGAGCACAATGCAGCAGTTTGGCTCAGTCGCCAGTTGCATAACATGTGGAATGACATCTGGGAAATTGAAAACATGCAACCGCGCAAGGCCTCCTCAACCAGTTGGTGTCGAAGATTCAGAATAGCTTTTTGGGCAGAAGCATTGCCACCTGCAGCTCGAGGGACTGACAAGAGCGAGGCAGCGCAACCCGTTCATTTCACCACACAAACAAAAAAAACACCAAGGGCGCAACCATGCTGCGCAAGTATTTCTTGAGCTCGCCTGGGAGGACAAAGCAAGAGGCCAAACACAACTAATTACCGACTCCCGAGCTTCAAAGTTCCAAGTTCTAAGGGCTTGGAGGAACAACAGCAAGACATAGCTGCCGAATGGAACATGGGCAACTTCAAAAAAAAACAAGCAAATCTCAAGACCATGGCATACTCAAGTTGACGTACAGTAGTGCTTCCCGTTGTGTCCGCCACTGGAAGGTCTCAGATCCAGACCCTTCAGCTGATGCCATGATGTTTCTGAGGCGTTTCTCACGCTCCTGAATCGTGAAAGCTGAAAAGTCATGTGTGCGCGTATGTTGCCAGGGGAGACCCCAAGGCAATCCGGGGACCCCATGATTGGGGGGTCTTCCTCTTCTAATACACGCCCACTTGCAGCTGGCTTCCCCAGTCAGGCAGCGTTAGTGTTTCTGTACTTGTTTCATCTTGTTTCTGTCTATGTAGTCACACTGCCTCGTTGATGCTTGAAGGGAGCGAAGCAAGTATTTTTTGATGTTGAATGTGCTTGATGCATAGTGTTTGTATGTGACCATAGACGAACGCATCTCTTCTGCACTCAACACCACCTCGGTCAGCTGGGTCTGTTTATGTCTTTTATATGTCGATATCTTGAACTTCTTGTCACTCTTGCTTAACAACTGATATATCGATGCTCTTGGTTCTGCAGAAGCCTCTTCTTTGCTGTGAGAGACTTGCTTCACCAGCCAAGCCCTGCACTGTTCTTTCCGCAATCTCGTGAGGAGCAAGGCCCAGGAACAGCCTCAACTGTTTACAGACTTCCGTGGTTCCATGGAACTGATGATGCACCATTGTTTCCTTAGCAAGGTCCCAGCTGTGCTCGAGCATCCACTTGAGCATCCTGGCCAAAAACTGTGTTGTTTGGTCCGTTTGACCGTGGACTCCTTTGTTTCCTCGAAGAAGATGTCATGAAGCTCTTTGGCTGCAAGACCTCCAGCTAGGTTTCCTATCATGTTCTTGTATTGAACATAAAACAACCCACTGTTCAAGTATGACATGAATGTTCTCCAGCCCTTGCAAAAAAATACTCCTGTTTCAATAAAAGCAGGACAACTGTAGAGTAACCTTTGCTCTGCTTTCTTGCAAATTGCCCCTTCTCAGGGATCTACACATTCCTTAGAGTCACACCAAGACCCACAACCAAAGATCCGCCACGAGCAAGTCGCCAAGCTGCCTGACCTTACGCCAAACTACCTGTTCTGTGGCCTTATGTGGCCGCGATTGGATATGTTCATTCATGTTGTGTAATTACTTCCACCTGCATCTCTTCATATGGTTTCAAGGTGCTCTTGTTTTTTGCATTGTAGTTGCAATGTGGCATGTTCGCATTTAGGATTGCTACAAGGTGGAGCAAGTGTGAGAAACACATGTCATGGCCATACTGACATTCAAAAAACCTTGAGGTCCCGGCGAAATCTGTTTGAGGCCATACTAATACATGCAACCTTTTTGCATCGGCTGCTAACCAAGTTGCACTTCAATTGCAACAGTCTGAGGGGTTTAATGCAGTCTCACCAAGAAATATGCTGAGGCTGAAACTTAACTGCCATCTCCTTCTAAAATAGTTTCATGTGCACGTTCGCTCAGAAACATCACACCACCAAACCATTGGGAACCTCGTTTCAGGACTGGACAAGTTGGTCTACGTACCAGAAAACCAGTTTGAGCACTCGCGGCTCGCGGTTGGCAGCAAAACACCCATGCAGAAACTCACCACTCATAGCCCATAGCCACAACCTGGCTTAACTGTTTTTTCAGAGGAGTGATGGAAGGGTTCATCCCACCGACGATATCAATCATGCACCTGTTTCATGCATTGGCCAACCGCCCGACAACACTTGCAGGAAAAGAAACCTCGTCTCGTGCAACTGTTTTTTCTGCTTCGGCGCACCTTCAGTAAATGCATCTGTGGTTTGCACTGATCAAACCAACTCCTCCGCCAGTCTTGATCCGGCCATTTAGCAGCGCCTGCTGGTGCAACGACACCTCTGGTCATAATCATAGCCTTCCCGCATACGTTTCGAAGTTTTGTAGTGCTTGGGGCACCTGAAGCGCATGCCCCCAATGTCCACCAGCTTCACCACATCGTGGTTGGAGTCTGTGGGTTCCTGGGTGCACCGCCCGCCGCGTATAATCTTCCGGTACATGGCTCGGTCGGCCGGGCACAAGCCTCGCGGTGGCAGGGGCGGCCGATCTGTTGAACACGGAATCGGACAGCCCAGCCTTTATGTGGAAAGGATAAGTAAAGCTGTGTTGCTGGTTGAACTGAAACACGCGTCTGTGTGCGTGTGTGTCAGCTTTGGAGTCAAAAGCGTCTTTCCAGTCTTTCAACTTTGGAGTCAAAAGCGTCTTTCCAGTCTTTTAACGCAGTTTTTCAAACGAGGGGGGCGAAGAGGACTTGCAAAGCTTTGCCCAACGAAGCTTCTTGCAAACAGACCTCAGAAGCGGAAGCTGATCACTTCTGTGTACCTGTTATTCTTGTGGGCGCTCGTAGACTTGTCTCGGTTCGTTTCCACACCTGAGCCTTGAAAGCATCAGTCAGATCAAGTGGCGATGAAATGAAACAGCTCCACTAACTTTAAGTTGGTCTGACCGATGCAAATCAAAAAGCTCTGACTCTTCCAACCTTGCTCGAAGCTTCTCTGAAGCCTTCTTCGAGCGGCTCTTGGAGCAAAGGAGAGACTTTCTCAAGGAAAGCTCCGAGTCTTCACTCCATATAGCTGTAGCTTGCCAGCACGTAGCAGTTCTACAAATACTCCGTTGGACTTCGAGAGATGTCATCTTTCGTCAAAACATCCGCTATCGTTCGAGGGCGCGGGCTCCAACGCACAGTGCTACGAGATTTGGACAAAGCCTCTAGAATTATCGCAAGCTCAACTGAGGTCCTGCGATCTTGACATTGTTTCAGAAGAGTGTCATAGAGGCTTTTTGCATCTGTTATATTACACTGCTCTATAGTTGCTCTCTAAGCAAAAAGTCGTGTGTCAGCATGGTCTTGAAGGGGTGATGGAGTTGCGCCAGTCGCGACGATCAACGCCGTTCCACGAAACATCACGAATCATGATCTGTTCCACTGTTCCACTCGACTCGACGACGCCACCGGCGTCCGAAGCAGCAAGCGAAATCATTTTCTTCAAACTTGCACTTCGCGACACGAGTGGCCGGAGAGCAGTACTCCTGATGTGCGCCATAGAATTTTGAAGCAACCAACATCATGTATAGTGGCATTCTTCAATCTAGATGCCAAGATGCTCACGATTCCGATCCTGCAGCTTCGGGTCGTGTTTGGTGAGCTAGCCAAGAAACCTTGTAGAGCATTGAACGAAAGGCCTCAAACTCCTCTGGTTGAAGAACGGCGTTCTTGTCGGCCTTGCGACCGCTCCCCAACTTGAGAACGCTCAACTTCTCTAGGATATACTTTTCCTGGCGCATGGTGACCTTGTCTTCAGGGAAAACAAACACGCCGGCCTGCGAAATCTGCTTCACCGTGAAACTCAAACCTTTGGGAGAGAAGGTCCAGTAGTTGCGGTTGATATTCTTGAGTCTTGAGTAGCACCGATGTTCAGGTCATCCACCTCTATCAAAACCATGCCTTGAATCTCTCCGGTTCCAGCTTTTTTTCACCAACCGGCAGCATGGTTCCAACAAGGCGTGAGCGAATCCAAGGCCCGCAAAGAAGGAAAACAATGGCTTGGTTCCATCGAAGTGGGGCATCGTCAAGCCCGTACACCGGTGCCACGAGCTTGATCAAAGCTCAGAGGAGGAGCCCTTATCTCGTTACTTCTAATGAAGGGTCGCCATGAGCCGGTTGGCAGTCCCAAACCAGGGCAGCTCTCCACATAGATTTAGGGGAGCTGATTGGCAAAACGCCTGCGCCACATCTGTGAGCGCAACTAATGCTGCGCCACATCTGTGAGCGCGACTAGCTCAAACAAAACTGGGAGAAGAGACTGATGGCAGGGGAGCGAATGTCGAGAAGGGTCCTGACTCCAGGTCGTGATGCCCGTGAACACACCAGCGACTGTTGAATTTCCATGAGCCAATGCCAGGCATTGGCTTCTTCCGTCTGATCATTGGGCTGGTGATCATTTTGAACGGCTTCTCCTTTCTCACACGCTCTGCCTCCCCCAGCCTTTGGATTCTTGGAAGCCCTTGTGCTCTTCAAGGGGAAGCATTCCTTGACAGGCCTAATCATCAAAGAGGTTCTCTCAGAGCGCACTTCAATGAAACAGCCTCCTGACTTCTTCGTGTTGGTCGTTGAGACTCCCCAGTCGCAGCCAGCTCCTCGCGAACTGTCTCCAAGATCTGGGTAGCAGGAGCCTCTTGGAAGGTACTTTCATTGGCGCTAGCTCTGGACTCTGGCCATCGGTTGTTCTGACTCTCCAGCGCACCTCAGTTGCCTGAGTTGATCGAGGAACGATGGTTCCAGGTCTGTCTTCACAGAAGGAAAGGGCTCTCGACAAGTGCCCGACCAGGTGGCTGCAGGAATTTCACTGATGGTCTCTTCTCTCATAGTGGCTGTTGCAAACCAAGAGGACTCACTTGAGACGATGGTACTTGGTCATCTCGTTCTCCTCTCCTCTCTGCTCAACTGGCGGAGGTCCTTCTGAAACAATATCCACGGCACCAGCTCTCGAAGACCGAGTCTGGGACGTCTGCTCTTGGATCGCCAGCACGAGCTAGTTCCACGCCTACTGCCTCATGCGTCGCAGGACCAAGTTGGTCAGAGTCAAAGCCTTGCCCACATGCATAGTCACCCACAACGCACGCCCAGCTTGAAAAACAGCAACTCCTCACCTATAGCCCGCGTGAGATGCAGTGAGCCAGCGCCAAACATATAGACCCACTGTCCAACACACTTTCTTGAACGCAGCGGCAACCGTTTGCTGGTCAAAAGCACGGAGTCCACATCCTCCCAGCCAAGCAGCTCCTGAAGATGATCGTCCGACAAGAGCTCTGTAGGAATTCAGGGGTTCACACCGAACATCAGTTGGTATGGACTGAAGCCACCCCGTGAGAACCATCGGTTCTTGCAACCCCACAGATAAGCTCTTCAAAGTCACTCGGAATCAGAAAGGGTGGATTGGCCTGCGTTGACTTCCATCTCAGCTCCCTCCTTCGCCCAAGCTCCGCGCCGTTCAGACCGACCGTTCTGCCACGGCGAAGCGCCATCGGTGACAATCTGAAGACATCCACACTGCTCCAGACCTCTTTCAAAGTGATTCTTGAATTCAGAGCCACCATCACAAATCAGGAAAGCCAAAGGCCCTCCGTCGGGCCCTCCGTCATAGTTCTTGAGCACGCCTCAAGATGGGTTCCATGACACACCACATTGAGAAAGGCGTGAGTCTTGCCTTGAAAAGAAATGTAGAAGTAGTCCACGCCAGGCGCCCGGCTAAAGGGGCAAACGTTCAACTGCACCCCTCTGTCTCATTACGCAATGAGACAATTGAACTTCTCCTTGACATACTTCATGACACCCTCCGCCTTCAGCCAAGCTAGCATCTTGCCCCTGTTCAGGCGCATCAGCTGAACTTTCTTCTTCTGCTCCTCTGTCTCCTAGTTGGAGTGGAATTGCGAAGAATCGATCCTGGTGTACGAGGCGGAGGGATGAGCTGCGCGTCCGCCTCGTCCTCAGCTCCTAAGCGAACTACTATTGCCCTCACAAGCTCTTCACGATAAACCTGCGCCAGCTTTGGGATGATCACGCGCTCATGATCACGAGCGCACTGGTACTGTGAGAGAAAAGGAAGGCAACGCCGAGATGGTTGGTAACTTTTCAATTGGTTGAGACCTCATTGATCAATCGTCAAAAATCTATTCACATCCTTCTGACTAAGGAGCCACTCCAAGGAATGAGTCTGCCAAGATGTTCCCGCAGGCTGCTCCAAAACAAAGAACTTGCCCATGTTGAATCTGAAAAGCAGCTATCTGAACGCAAAGATGCCACATCATCAAGGCGTTCATCTGTTCTCTGGTCAGTCTCTCTATCGGAATGCGATCGAAATTGACGTTCACGAGAACGGAAAACATCCGACAGTCTTGACTCAGGACGACGACATCGGCGCTGTTCTCTCAAGGTGTCCCACGTGCGTTGTCGGTCCTGTGGTCGCAATTCCAGCCCAGCTGCAAATCAAAGCTCCCAAGGTCCCAGGGTGTATGGTCAAAAGGCCTTGCTTCACCGCCGCCAGCCACTCGAGGCGGGAAAAGGTCACGCAGACGCACACTTTCGAAGGACGGCCGAGTTCAGCGGCCCATGGCTGCATTCCCTCAAAGAATGGGAAAACGTCTGCACTTGCGAAGGCTCTTCAGGCTCTTGACAGTTCTTCTCAGACTGATTGACTCGCACATCCCTTTCGTGAAACAGAATCGAATTCAGCGGTTGAAACCGGTTGAGATCGAATTCATCAATTCTCTCTTCTGACGTTTCGTCAGCTGAATCTCTCGTCCCTCCGGAAATCATTGAATCTAGTGAACAAGTCCAAACAATCCCAGATCAAACACCAAGG